AAAAGCTGATAGAAATGTTCATCTGTATTAAAAAAAAGATGGTGCCACTTATAATGATAATACTGTTTATATTAATGATGTAATTATTGTCATGAAAATATCTGTAATAACGGTATTCCTCATAATGTACATAGTGATAAAGAGATGAAAGCATTGTATTACCGATTAAAATAATATGCTAATGATATTAACAATGATGACGATAATAAAAATAACTAATAAAAATATAATAATAATAATAATAATATAATTAAATAAAAATAATAAATAATGATTAATAATGATTCTAATAATAATGATAATGATTATAATAAAGAAAATAATGATAAGGATATTAATAAGAGATATGGCAATGATAATAGATAATGATAATAATCTATTATGATAACAGTAACTATAATGATGGCAAAGATGGTAATTATAACAATGATAGATAAACTATATAACTGATAACGATGCTAATGATAGTAACGATAATGATAATAAAAACAATATTAGCTATATATAATACTACCAGCCAAAATAATTATACTGTCGATAATAATAGTAACAGACATATGCGTTTATGTGTGTTAGTATGACTCCATACATGCGCACGCCTTATGAGCAACATGCAACAAAGAGAGCACGGCAGTAATGTGCGGTCTGCTGCCAAGAGAAGTGAACTCAATTTCCCACTCTCTGGTTTCATAATGACAGTGTTTACAGTTTGAAGGTCGTTCCTCATAAAATATTCGCAGTTGCAGTATCCATTGTCCTCAGGCTTTTAAAGGATTTAAAGAGATGCATGTTGCATGGTAGATGAAATACGAGGATTCCCACTTTTATCCACACTCACATGCATAAATACATGCATACATACATATATACACGCATGCATATATATATATATATATATATATATATATATATATATATATATATTATATATTATATATACATATATATGTATATAGTATATATTTTATTTATATATATGCATATATACATATATATGTATATATTTGTGTGTGCGTGTGTATAAGTGTGTGTGTGTGTGTGATATATATGTGTATATATATATATATGTATGTATATATATATATATATATTATATAATATATATATATATAATATCTATATAATACCTAAATAATTCTCTCTCTCTCTCTCTCTCTCTCTCTCTCTCTCTCTCTCTCTCTCTATATATATATATATATATATATATATATATATATATATATATATATATATATATATATATGTACACACACACACACACCAGGACATCATGATGCAATACACAGGCAACTGCATGTTCCAATACAATATTCATATGATCGTTCTACAAGACTGTACTTGTTCTCAAACCACTTGTATGACAAATCTTGGCAAACTGAAATCAAGAAAGCAATGAAGGTGGACGATTGCTGTCATTCTGACCCAACTATTGTGATTTCATTCAAGGCCCAGATATGCACAGTTACACTAGATTCTATTCCTGGAAAGTTCCTGTTAGTTGGCCATTCACCTAATCAGAAAATCCTCGATCATACTGTTGGTACACTGACAGATAGATCTATTGACATTTAAAGTCCGTTAAAGAATTCATGATATTTATTGATGTCAGTAAGTCCTAACTATATGAAGGATTAAATCAAAGACACAAAAAGTGTCCCCAGCAATCTTATTCCAGGACAGCGGATGAACAAAGAGCTAAGTCTTGTCTGCTGATACATAGATGTAAAGTGTTCATATTTAAAACATGAGGACATACACTATGGATTGCAATAATTGCCGTAACTTCCTGAAGATAAGTGTCTAATGAGCTTCGCCTTCAGGGGGAAATTGTTCCACTTGTCGCAACTGAAATGCAGAGTGAGCGAATATAAGACTCAGAGCAGGATCAGATTTCAGAAAACCACCATAATAATTCTTCCGCAGTCCAAGATGTCGAGGTTTAAGGTTTTATATACACTTCTAGAGCTAAGAACTAATATCCCTAAGTGGTGATACTGAACCTCACTCGACTTCCTTTGGTTGAATTGTTAGTCCAATATTTGATGTGGATTAACCAAGCACTATAGCAGTGGTCGGCAAACTTTTGATCATAGTGTGCCAGTTTATGATTAATGCCTTCTTATTCATAACCTTGCGTGCCAATTCTTTTTTTCTGCACTGTATACTCAAATGTATTTTCCTGCACATGCTTAACATAAATATAATATTTTTGTAGCATTTAGTACTTTTTGTAACAAGAGATGTGTTTATTTTAGATTTATACTCACTAAATTAATATCTGGACACACTGAGCTTCAAACAACCCTCAGAGTGATCTGTTGTAAGCCTGCAGTGATAGGGGCTGAGGGTATGCTGCATGAGTGAAAACATCTGGCTCACATTGGCATATAGATCCAAATGATGTAACAAGGCTACTTTCTTCATGCAACTGAATTTACCAGACAGTGGTGTCAGGGAACTTAATATGAAGGCTGTATGGTCATTCGCAGTAGTTTCTAAT